CAAACCGGTTTCGGCTCCTTTTTTTGTTTTGTTATTTTTTTAGGTGGTAGTATAAATAGTCTTTTCTCTTAATGAAGTCAGTGGAATAAAACAAAAACAACATAACTAGTCCCTGTCTTCTCTATCGTGGTTCCTGGTACACATCCAAGCCAGAGCCCCCGAGGTGCTCCCCCATGCAGACCGCCTGCAGCCCGCCTGCAGCATCAGTAATGAGGCTGTTTGCATGCATCTCTGATGGAGCCAGAGCCAGCCCCAAGCCAGAGCGGCTCCGGGAGGACCGGCCGGAGGCCACTGCCGCAGGGCCTGCAGTTGGAATGCGGGTGTCATTTTGGACTCTTTCTCTGTAGCGAATGCGAGCACGCTTCCCCTCAGGATGCTCTGACACCAGCCTCTGTGATCACTTGGGAATGCGCTGTAGGACTGGGCTGGCCCCGAGAACGGTTTGATGCCAGGGTCTTATTCGCAGGGCAGCGGTTAGGGATAATTTATTTCCAGATGAGGTATTTTGCAGAACAAGAAAATGCCTTGGCACATGTTCTCTGTTTAGTCAAACCTATTTGTCACGCCTCGGTACCTCTGAGATGGGTCTCATGGCGACCGACGGAGAGTTTTATGTGTTTGTCTGTGCTCTGGAGCCAAGAGTACTCTGCAGCGGGTCTAATCAGTCTGCGATGAGAAGGAGTGGGGTACGGGCTCCTGGAAAGACGGTGGCCACCTCTCCAGCAGCCTCTGTCTGAGTCTAGTTACTCCGAAGACTCTCTCTGAACCATTGAAAAAAATTGAGAAATCACTGCACTGCTACAGTAGAATTGGAGCGATTATTCGGGGTGTTATCCTTTCCCCCATTATCCTGGATGTTTCTTTCCCTTTCCTTCTCCCTCTCCCTCTGCCTTCCCTTTCTCTCCTCCCCTTGCCTCACTCCTTGCTCCCTTCCCACCACCTTTACTTTCCCTTCTTTCTCCCTCTGCCTTTTCCCAGCCTCTCGTTTAGGATAGTTTATTCCTATTTTACTTGGAGATTTAATGCTGAAAGGGCACCTGAGACCTGGTCCTTCTTCCCTCCTTTTGGTGTTTGGCCGTGGCTTCCATTCCTATGGTGGTGATGGCTTCCCCATGAGAATCCTGGCTTTCTCCTGAAGCTGTAAACCCCCCATCCGAGATGCCAGGGGGCTGGGAAGAAGTCCCTCCAGTAATTTCTTCAGGCGTTTCTAGCTGAGGTGGCTGGTGGATGGGACCTTTCCTCGGATGTTATCGGACTTGGTTAGCCAGACGCATGGTCCAGAAACCCTTGATGGCTTTGGTTTGGAGATAGAGTTACATGGAAACAAGATCTTTTCCAATCAATAGCATCTCATCTGATGTCTTCCTGCTGGCTTACCATCGGCATGCGGCACGAGATGGCTCTAGCTCTGCATGTAGGGTTGCCACTGGAAGTGCTTTGTGGAGTGACATTCCTGCAGTGAAATGACAGACTTTCCTTCTAGACTCAAGATTCAAAACAAGTGCCATCGTCGTTGTGTTAGGGTTCTCCAGAGAAACAGAACCAATAGGATGAGTAAGACAGAATAGCATTAACTTATTTCCGGTATGTATGGTTAATATGTGTAAAGACACTTGTGAGAAAGAGCTGGTCCCTGTGATTATGGAGGCTGGAGTTCAGTCTGCAGGGCGGGCAGCGGACGGAGAGCCTAAATCGCTGAAGGAACAGAAGTCTGGCCGCAGTCTGCTGGACAGATTCCCTGTGCTCAGGGAGGCTGTTTTTGTTTGTGTTTTTTTAGGTATTTATTTTTATTTTAAAGGGGGAGAAGGAGGAGAGAGAGAGAGAGAAACATTGATGTGTGAGAGAGATACATCAATATCATGTCCTCTGTCTCCTATACACACCCCAGTCAGAGATTAAACTTGTAACCTAGGTATGTGCCCTGACTAGGAATCGAACCCACGGCTTTCTGGGCACGGGACAATACTTAACCAACTGAACCACACTGGCCAGGGCAGCGGGCTGGTCTTTTTTACTTATTCATGCCTTTCAACTGATCGGGTGAAGCCATGTAGTTTAGCCAAAATAACAATGGGCAGTCTTGCCCCAGGGCTCCAGCTGGTTCTGTTCTTGTCAGAACCTATAGTTAGTTGATTTACTATGTATTCTTTGCTGCGTGTCTGGGTAAGTGGGTCTGGAAAATATTACTGGCTGTGTACTTTCTCCCCTTGCTGTGACATTCCTTACAAAATTGGTTACAGGACTGAGACATTGTTGAAACGATGCTGTCTTTTGGGCTATTTCTTCTCCAAGATGGATTATGCCAGGCATGCACACAGAATAAAAATGTAAATATTCTCCACTGGAAAGCCTGCATACCACTTTATATTTAGACGCGGGCCCCCACAGGCCAGCGAGGCCCCACGGGGATCCGTGCTAACGTGCGGCCACGCCGTTCTGCCTGGCCAGAAAGAAGTTTCTTTTGAGCAGGAGACCAACTGGACAGAATGCCAGAGGCTGAAATAACTCTTCAGAGTGCCAGACAGGCACAAGCTATGTCTTCGCAGCACATCTGACCGAAAGTGAAAACGTTTTCTAAACGAGTGTCTTTTCCCTCTTGGTTTCCAGCAATGCATATACATCCAAATACATTTCATTTTTCGTGGAGAGTGAGCCAGCCTCCGCCTTTTCTCCCCGCTCTCTCTGCAGTGAGATAACAGCCATTGTTCACACAGAAAGACGTCCCTTTATCTCGCAGGATCCCAGGCAGCAGCCAGCGAGCCTGTGCTGCTGTTCATATTGGTTCTGGGTCCACAGAGGAAAGACAGGTAGCATTCCCGTGGAGGCCTCAATCTGTGGACGGGACCGAATGGTCAGCTTGGGAATCCAGCTGCTCACAGACTCGCCAGCTTCGGGACACTTCCCCCGTGTGAGACCCAGGCTCTTGGCAGAATGTGGGCCGGGGCTGACATGACCTCAGCCTCTGTTGTGGCTTACATGTGTTTTAATTGTGACATTTTATGTTCTCGGTTTCTTTCTTTTTTGAAAATATATTTTATTGATTTTTTTTTTTTTTTACAGAGAGGAAGAGAGAGGGATAGAGAGTTAGAAACATTGATGACAGAGAATCATCGATCGGCTGCCTCTTGCACACCCCCAGTAGGTACATGCCCTTGACCGGAATTGAACCTGGGACCTTTCAGTCCACAGGCCGAAGCTCTATCCACTGAGCCAGACCGGTTTTGGCCTCAGTTTCTTTCGTTCTTCTGAGTAGGGAAGGGAAGTAGACCCCATCCTCATGCCCCGCAGGAGGGCTGTGCTTCTGTGGACATTGTGGGTTGGGCCCCGACGTGATGAGTTAGTGGGCTTCCCAGTGGGGGCTGCACGTTAAAACCGGGGGCACTGGGAACACAGCGCCGATCTGGGCCTTCTCCAGCCCCCTGAATCAGAGCTCGGGGTACGATGGTATTTTCAACGGCTTGCCTGGCGTCAGAGCCCAGACGCTGACAGGCTTTCTGAAACGTCTCTCCCAACTGGAATGGGAAACGGCAGTTGTTGTCCACAGCTGCTAAACGGTTCCAGATTATCAACTCGGAGGCAGACACAGACACAGAACTCCGGAGAACATTCCGAGGAGCTCGTGTATGAGCTGGGAAGACATTGAGGGCTGGCGTTTCCTCCAGGGCGTTATCGTGCCCTCTGCCTGCTCCCTCCACACCCTGCCCCGCTTCCCCTGCTCCCCTGGAAGGAAGAGATGGCCCCGCCGCAGCCACCTCCCATCTGGCTATCATCTCGGAGGTTATTTTTAAAGGACACTCACTTCCCTTGCAAACTCCCAAGGAAGGGCTCCAGGAGAACAATGCGATAGGAGCTCAGGCGTCAGGTTCTGAGTCATGCTGCCCTTTTAGTCCCAGGTCCTCTTGACACCTATTTGCCGCTGCCTCTCTTAGTCCCAGATAGATTTTTCATGTTTCTCCTCCTAGGACAGACTATGACATGGGCCGGGGGAGTGGGGACCAGGAGCGGGAGCTTCTGGCTCTGCTCTGTGCTCACAGACACGAACCCCTCTAGGACCCGGTCCCCTGGCGGGGGCTGCGTGGAGTCCTTTCCCCTGCCTGGACGGAGTGTCTGAGACAGCCCAAACAGTGTTCGGGAGAATGCGGGGTTCCTTAAAGTTTCAGAGACACTATGTACTCACCCGTGGCTTCCTCCTCCTTGGCTAATTCCCGGATGTTGGTGGGAGGAAGCCAAGTGGCAGCTTTTGCTCTTTTCTCCGCATCAGGCATCAGCCCTGTAGGCTGCGATGACAGTCCTGCTCAGAGAAAAGTGCTGTCATGGCTTCATTTCTTCTTTCCAACAGAAATGTAAACCGAACTACCAGAAGCTGCTTCCCATCCCATGTGCTAGGTCTGGTAATGAACTCCATAGAAAAATGCTAAAGGAACTCATTTAGGTTGACACGAAAGAACACTAGACAGTCACTCAGAGCTGTGAAGATCTAAGTCTTCAGTAGAGGCAAGTAGCCTTATTATAATTTTGGTTTACAACTGCAGTTTTTAATTTCCACAGAATAAAAGCACTCAGAAATCTATGTTACTGAGAAGGCATCCAGCGTGTAAAGATGTAGTTTGTATCATGAACAGCATAAAGGGAGGGGTGACGAGGTGGCTCATTTGGGTCTGTATGATGATGTCGTCGAGAGGATTGACAGTGACTCTGAGCAAGGAGGGAATTCCTAGAGGAAAAATCTTAAGCTCCAGGGGCTTTATTCTGGAACTAAGAAGGGGAGTGAATCCTCAGAGCTCTTCTCTGGCTCTTGGCTCTTCCCAGTGAAGTCAGACTGAGCGAAAGCAGTCAACATGCTGTGTCTGTGTCTTTGTTGTGGAAGAGAGTCTTCTCCCGTCCTTTCTGGTTAGTGATGGCTGCCCCTGTAGAAAGGGCAATCCGACCTCCGTCCGAGGGCTCTGCTGTGTTAGAGCCACGCTGTCTCTGACTTTACCCTTCCCCCCCCTTCCCTTCAGGCTGCTTGATAGGGGCCGTCAATCTCAAATCCAGCAACAGATACCCAGTGGTACAGGAATTTGAAAGTAAGTACAGGAGACTACCGGTAAGCACTGGGAGAATGGGCGCCCTCTAATGGACATTCTGGGGTCTTGCAGCCAGCTCAGGCCACGCATGTGGGGCCAAGAGAGGTGCTGGTGGGTATGCACGGGTGTTGGTGGGGCCCGGCCTCCGCAGGCCACGGGGGCTACAGGTTCGATCCTGGCTCAAGTCTGCCCTGTCTTGGCTCTGTGCTTACACGACAAAGACATTTCTATACACACGTGGAGCATGACGGGGAATGTCCACTCTATTGAATAAAGGTTCCTGCTCATCATATCCTTTTTCTGGCTGAAATTCATCTGTTTCTTAAAGTCTCCCAGAGCCTGGAGATAGCTGTTTTGTTTTTTTGTTTGTTTGTTTTAAATATATTTCATTGACTTTTTTTTTTTTTTTTTTTTTTTTTTTTTTTTTTTTTTTTTTTTTTACCGAGGAAGGGAGAGGGACAGAGTGTTAGAAACATCGATGGGAGAGAAACATCAATCAGCTGCCTCCTGCACACCCTACACCGGGGATGTGCCCGCAACCAATGTACATGCCCTTGACTAGAATCAAACCCAGGACCCTTCAATCTTCAGGCCGATGCTCTATTCACTGAGACAAACTGGTTTTGGCAAGCTGGGATTTTTTTATTTTATTTTATTGATTTTTTTTATAGATAGGAAGGGAGAGGGATAGTTAGAAACATCAATGAGAGAGAAACATCGACCAGCTGCCTCATGCACACCCCACACTGAGGATGTGCCTGCAACCAAGGTTTGACTGGAATCAAACCTGGGACCCCTCAGTCCACAGGCCAACGCTCTATCCACTGAGCCAAACCAGTTTCTGCAAGAGATAGCTGGGTTCTAATCTGCACGAGAGACCTAACACTGAGGAGGCTTGCGCGGCGTGGGTGTAAGTAACCGAGTTGTTCCACTTCCCCTGAGAGTCCCTTTCTTCTCTCATTAGGTGTGGAGCTGTCTTGTATCATCACCGACTCACAGACAAGAGAGCCCAGGATCGAATGGAAGAAGATTAAGGATGCCCAGACCACATACGTGTTTTTTAACAACAGAATTCAGGGTACGATGTCGCGTCCCCTCCTTGGCTTCCGGGGGCAGGCATGCGCCGTGGCCACACTTTCTCTCCTCCCGCTGGTTCTGCATCTTTGCCAGGGTTGTGTTTGTTTTGTTTTGTTTTGCTTTACTTTCAGGAAAGTGAAACATGTCAAGGTAATAGAATAGCATATTGAACCCCCCTGGCCCTGTCCCCCAGTTTCAGCAGATGTCAGTTCATTAGGGTTTTAATTTCTCTGCAAAATACCTTTCTGAAGTGTCAGAGTCCAGGCCATCTTTTTATCATGGTCCATGACCTGCGTGTTGCAAGTTAAAAGTGAGTTAGAGGGTCACATGGCACAGCAAGGAGACAAGTGTTTGGTGCAAGCATACCGCACCGAGAAAGCACTCGCTGGACAGCCGGCAGGGTGTGATCCCGTGTGAGCCCAGGGGTAAGTGTCAGGTGTTCCTGGGCGATGTGATGGAGGGGCAGGACAGGTGGCGGGAAAGGCTTCCCAGAAGTGACCTCCAGGCAGAGAAGTGAAGGAAGGCCAGTTAGCCAAGCAGGATGGTGAGGCGTGGGGTGAAGACATGTGTTGGCCAGAAAGAATGACGTGTATAAAAATGTAGAGGCAAATGTCAGTGTAGCTTATTAGAGACACTGCAAGGGATCCCCCATTGTGGGGGCTGACAAGGAGGGGCAGGGGAGACTACAAGGGAAGCTGACCAGGTGTGTCAGGGCCAGCAGGAAGCAGTGAACGCCCACCAGATGGGGCGTGCAGGAGGCAGCTGACGAATGCTCTCTCATCGATACCTCTCTCTCTCTCTCTCTCTCTCTCTCTCTCTCTCTCTCTCTCTCTTTCTCCCTTCTTCTCTGAAATCAATATATATCTATAGTAATAAGAGCATAATATGCTAATTAGACCAGATGTCCTTCCGGACAAAGCCTGGACTGCAAGGGAAGCCAGTGCTGGGAACCGAAGGAATACCTATTCTTGCACAGATTTCGTGCATGGGGCCTCTAGTATCTATATAAAGACAGGGGCCTGTGAGTCCTCTCACACACCAGGCACTGTGCTGGTGCCCAGTGACCTCAGAGCTCACCTCTTAAAGGAACAGAAACAGAAGCAGTCTTCTCATGGAGGCGTCCAGTGCTGGCCCCAGAAACCGCCTCCTTCAAGTCACAGAGACCTTTCGAAAGCGCCTTCAGTGCCATTCCTTCTTCTCCACAGGGGACTTGGCAGGCCGAGCGGAGCTGCTGGGGAAAACCTCTCTGCAGATCTGGAACGCAACCAGGAGAGACTCTGCTCTCTATCGCTGTGAGGTGGTTGCTCAAGACGATCCCAAAGAGATGGACGAGATCGTCATCGACTTGACTGTGCAAGGTAGGAACTCATGTGCAGGCCTTTCAGGCCTTATGCGTTTGTATGTAGGAAAAAAAGATCAACTCGTACTTTCTTTCTGTCCCAGGTGTCCCGCTTCAGGGAGGGTGTGGAGACCTGGGGCTGCTTGAGTTGGGTGGAAGCTTCTGCCACTTCCCTCCACCCACTGTGGGAGGCCCCTGGGGAGGTGGAGGCCTTAGGAACATGCAGCGGGATATTGGGATGGAAGGGGAGGTTCAGGGGCAGGTTTCTGGCTGCAGACCACACAGGCAGAAGGTGTGGCCACAGGACAGTGGGCGTGGCCATGGGATGGTGGGTGTGGCCACAGGGCCATGGGCGTGGCCAGGGTCCAGAGTTGGTGCAGAATCCCCTGGCTGGCTTTCTTGTTTGGGAGTGGATTTACGGAAGGCTCATTGCTGATTTTAAAGACCAACCTGTGTTTCTCCTGCAGTGAAGCCAGTGCCTCCAGTGTGCACAGTACCAAAGGCGGTGCCCGTAGGCAAGATGGCCACGCTGCACTGCCAGGAGAAGGAGGGCTTCCCCCAGCCCCACTACAGCTGGTACCGCAATGATGCGCCGCTGCCCAGGGACTCCCGCGCCAACCCCAGATTTCAGAATTCCTCTTTCCTCATTGACTCCAAAACGGGCACTCTGGTAAAACCTGGGAGAGGTGCGGAGGGAAACGTCTGCCGGGCAGGGAGACCTTTAGAAAGAGGAGCCGTTGGGAGAGAGAAGGGAGCCTACAGGGGAGCTAACGTTCCTGTCAGGCCTTCATCTCCTCGTCATGTCCTGACCAGGTGTTCAGCGCGGTTCGCAAGGAGGACTCCGGGCAGTACTACTGCATGGCTTCCAACGACGTCGGCTCGGCCAAGTGCGAGGCGCAGGAAATGGAAGTCTGTGAGTGCTTTCCGAAAAGACTGGTTTTCTCTTTAGACTGGCAAGCGGCTGCACGTTTACAGTTAGCATCAGGCCATCCGTGCAGACGGCGGTGGGCAGCCGGCTGCGTCACCCCGGCCACTCGGGTGCAGGGCGGCGAGAAAGCGGGGACAGCCACATGGTGATCAGGTGTCCTTTGCAGGGCGCTGGGCTCCTCAGGACAGGCTTTCCACTGCTGTTGGTGTTGGAGACATGGCTAATCATGTCCCTTGTAGCTAGTTGAATAACTCCATTACTTGTAATTGATAAAAACATCAGGGTGTGTCGTCTTCAGAAATTCATCCGGTGATAGGATTTGAAGGGAGCTGAGGCACAGTCTTAGTCCTAGGAATCACCCAGTTGGGAGACGATGCCGTCTCCGAGGTACTGCTCTTGGGAGGTGCTGAGCCGGATGGGGCAGGTGGGGCGGCCAGACGCATGCCGGGAACTGCGCACGGGCCCCTCTCCCCCAGCAGTTTTCCAAACCTGCCCAATGCTGAGAACCATCTGGCACCACGGGCTCTCATTCAGAATCCAGGCCCCACATGGACTGTCTCCGGGAGGGCGGGAGGGTCCCTGTGAAAGAGCGTTCCGGGCTCCCCTCGCCTGTCAGGTTTGGGAAGCTCCGCTGTCGGAAGGAGGAAGATCCCTGGCTGTGCTCCAGATCCGGCGAATCTCTAGGGATTGGGCTTGGGACCTGAGATCTTAAAATCGAAATCTCCAGTTAAGTGTACACCACACTGAGATCCACCGCCTGGGGAGGGAGAGCTTTTCGCCTCCCTTTGCTGCGGTGCCCCCTTCGTGCAAACACACGCAGCGGGAAGTTCTCAGTGGCTCTGCCCACCGTCCAGCAACGAGAAAGGGGGTCCAGGCTTCCGTGAAGGGGCTCGTGGGTACCAGGCCAGGCATCCAGAGAGCAGCCATCCTCTCACCGGGACTTTTACTGCCTGAAGCTAGCTCTTTTCCCCGACGACCCCCGAGAATGAGGCGTTTCCTTCCAAAGATGCCAGGCTCCTTGTTCTGTGTACAGGTGTCCCTCTCCCCAAGTGCTCTCACTCAGGATTTAGCCAGAGGAGCGTCCAGGCTTCTGGGCATGGTAGGCCCGTGTCCTACAGTCCCAGGTGCAGCAGCACTGGACGTGGGGCCTCGGCCTCCCACGTGAGGACGGGCATGTGCCCCGAGTGCCCTAGGAGAGCCTGCGTGGTCTCACCCGTCTCTGGCTGGGGGTGACCTGGCACCGGAGGAGGCCCAGCCGGGTCAGGTGCTTGGTGAGACCAGAGTGTGGGTCCTCTCCCCCCTCCACCTTCCTCCCATCCAGACGACCTGAACGTGGGCGGAATCATCGGGGGCGTCCTGGTGGTCCTGGCAGTGCTGGCCCTCACCACGGTGGGCATCTGCTGTGCGTACCGACGCGGCTACTTCATCCACAAGCAGGACGAGGAGAGGTGAGCCTGCCGCTTGTGGACGGGATCACGCACAAGCGGGCATGGACGTGACACCTGGCCCTCGCTCAACCGCCCTCTTCTGTTTCAGTTTCAAGAATCCAGGGAGGCCCGACGGAGTTAACTACATCAGGACAGATGAGGAGGTACGGGGAAAGACAGGTTGCCGGGGAAACCCAGGACTCGAGGGGTCCCCAGCAGGGAAAGGGACATTTCTCCTTGGAAGTCAAGTGCATGCTAACGGCTTTATAGCTGCGGGCGCTTGCTCCTTGTGAGGATGCTCAGGCTGATCCTGAGCTCCCTCCGGGAAATGGTGATTGGACACGACCACCGTTCCCCTTCCCCTCTGCCCAGCAGGCCCGGGTTTGTATTGAATGCACAGGAGGGTGGCCGTCTTCTAACCCTGTGCTGGCCTTGCAGGGCGACTTCAGACACAAGTCGTCGTTTGTGATCTGAAACCTGACATGCGACCCAGAGCACACGCAATACCTCCACCAGGAACGTCCCCAGAGCTGCCGGAGGGCAGGGCACCCGACAGAGCTAGACACGCGTGCAAAAGCTTTTTGTTTTGGCCAAAGTTGACCGCTACTCCTTTCCTACTTCTTAACAAGCCGCATGAATAAAAGGATTCTCCTCAAGATGGGCTCAGGCATCACAAGGAAAAGAACTGAGCGAGCTTCTCACTGAGGCTGGCTCCCAGCTCGGACCGCTGGGTCCCCCGCCTGGGAAGCCAGTTCATTTGCCGCTTGCTGTTGGTCAGCCAGGGTGAGCACCCTGCGATGGGGATGTGGGGGGACGAGGGAGCGGGGTGTGGCAGCGGGAATCTGGCAGGATGCCCTGCAGCTGCGGTTTGAATCGGTGCATCCAGAAAAGAGGCTTTTTGACCATGACCTTGCCTCGGTGGCCCCGACTGTCTGCACCAGCCTCAGTGTTGTCCTGTCCATCTTGGGAATCCTCTTGGATCAGCACTTACAGAAACAACCAAAATCATCAGAAAGGCGAACTGCTCGCAGGGAGGGGCCAGCTTCCCCATAGGAACCCTGCTCGTCGCTGGAGGGTCGCTACGGACACCTCCCGCTCAGCCACGTGTGACATGGTACTAAAACGTCCTGCTTTTTTCTATGGGTGTTTGTTTTATAGAATTTTACATTCTAAATTTTTGCTAAACATGTATTTTGGTTATTGAAAAGAAAATTTCTATTTAAACTGTACATACGTTGTCATACAATGTTGAATAACCTATTTTTTTAAAGAAAAAGTTCAGCTCGCAGTTAGGCGTTCCAAGCTACTCGTGTCAAATGGAAAATGTCAACAGGAAGAGTATCTTAACCCGCGGCACCCTCCCGGTGGCTTGCTGGGCCATTCCCTCCACCAGTGCGTTAGCGTTTGTGAGAAGTGATGCCATCGATGCAACAGACCACGTGGCTTAGGGAACCTTGAGAATTCCAGTTGAGTTAACGTCCAAGTTGTCACCTCTCCAGAGAAACACCACCAGGCTCTTGGGTCGGCTGTGGACTGCCTCTCCTTTAGATCCCTCCCGCCGCTGGGTTCCTGAGCCACAGCCCCTTCTGGTGATGGATGGCTCCCGAAACGGAAGCTACTGCGATTTGGTTTTTAAATGTATTTAACTTATTTGTGTGGTTCATAACACTGTGCAGGCCAAAGGCAGTTCTGCATCAAGTCTGCCAGCTTTAGTTTTAAAGACGACGGATTCCGCTTGCCCTCTTCGCCAGGAGAAAGCGCCGATGCCGTGGGCAGTGTCCGCCTCGCAGCGGAGCTGGGGCAGAGCCTGGTGGTGAGCAAAACGCCGGCCTGACTCCAAGGCCGAGTCCTGGTTCTGATCAAGTTTTCCTGCACCCCGGCCCTGCCTGCGCCGTGGGGAAGCCAGGGGACGCGCCTTTCTCCTGCAGAAGCCCGTCTTGCTGGTGCGCTGTGGTTAGCTCGTGAATTGGTTCAGTGCCAAGTTCCTCAGAGAGACGCCTGGCTCCCTGTGTGCTTCGAGGGTAGTTGTCACGTAGGACAGTCATCTTGGGATTACACTTCAACTGTCTTAACTTTTTATACTCTGAGGGGCTTTTAATTGGAAACTGTGTTGACTTTTTATGTGAAATACTTGGCCGTGGGGTGGTTGGCAGGAGCAGTCGGCAGCTTTTCATACCTGCTCACTGGTACCTCTCTCCTGCGTTTGTACTGAAGGCGTAGGACGAGGACTATCCCTTCACCGTCACCTCTTGGTAGGATGGGATAGCGGCCCCATTTCTCTGACTCTTGAGGCTCAATACTCTGGGGCCTTGGTCTTGGTTGTCACAGTGATAAGGCAGCCTTACTGCCTTTCCTCTTATGCCTAAAACCTACCCTGGGCCATGTGAACTGGGTCTGACGTGAAGCGTGGAGTCTGGGAAGTAGTTGCCTGTGACTAAAAATGTAGACGGATAAGAAGCATTCATGTCTTTCACATGTGAATGTGACTGAGGCACGAGGCCTGTCCGCGGCCGGGCCTTCAGCATGGCTGTGCATAGGTGTGCAGACTTGTACTAACACCCCCTAAATCGGTATGTGTTAAACCTCATTTATAAAAGCTTTAAAAAAATCACCTCTGCCTCGTTCTTTCTTATTTCCTCTCATGTTGGGTTTGAGCATTTCCAGGTGAGCACACTCAGCCCACCACCACGTGTCCACGGATTGGACAGGAGTGGCTCCCTCAGGAGCAGCTGTGACTCCCATGTGTCACAGTTCACACTCAGGAGAGCTGTGGGTACGTCACAGGATATACTCCCCCTCACATCCAGCTACCATGCTATTAACACATTGTGGATCAGGAGTTTCATTGCTAGGTTTACCCAGTGGCCAGATACATTTCTCTTTGAACGAGTACAAAAAGCATTTTACCTAAATGTTCAAGGCACTCTTTATAATTAAACACCCATTGCGTTTTGAAGTTCTGTATTATATGTTCTGACAAGCTAATATCTTTTTAAAGAATTCTCGTGATTGGCCACAAACCTTAGAACAGAAAACACGAGAATTCTCGTGATCCACCCGCCATTTGTTAAAACACTGTCATGGTGCCCCCGTGCAGTGCATCTGTGGTCTGGGAGTAGACAGTGACACGGGGCTTCTGGTCACTCCTGGTGAAAACAGACGTGCGCATTTCAGGGCTACCTGGTGGGGCCGACAGAAGAGACTGGGCCACGTGCAGGACCGCAGCAGGCTGTCATCAGCAGGCCTCGGTCCCCACACTTAGAGGGACACCTGTGGTTAGGAGGCGGGCAGCGTCTGTCTGGGGACATAGGCACTGGAATTTAAGGACAAACAGTCATTATTTTAACTTGAAAGATTCTTAAAATACTTAAATATTTTATGTAAATTAAAATAACTACCAATAAAATCCCTGTTCTTAAAAAAAACATACTATTGCAATAGAATAGTAGAAGGCTGTATTTATGCTTTATTATTGTCTTAGAAAGCTGTACACTCTTTAAAATGTGCAGTTCATAAATAAGAGTAGAAAAATATTACAATCAGAATCTTGTCACACACACACACACACAGGGAACTATCCACTAGAAAGGATTCCTATCAGCTAACAGGTTGGGTTTGTACACGAGAATGCCAATGTGTCGCGCTGGGTTCCTTAGGGACCATCAGAACGGGCTTGATCCTTCCAAACGGAGTAGAGATAAAACGTTACATGGCTAAGACGATTCTCTATTATTTTACAATTTTTACCACATACTCCTGGAGACACGGAAGCAGCTGGAGTCACAGCACGAGTGCTGGGGTACGTAACGAAAGCGCCCCCGGGGGACGCCTGTCCCCGTGCAGAAATGTCTCCCCAGCCCCGCTTCCCGCCTGCCCTGCAGGCACTGTCCTAGTTGGCTGCCTTCAGGGGGGTCTTTCGGAGGGACCTCTTGCTGGGGACGGGGTTGACTTTATTTCTCGCCGGAGACTTCACATTCCACTGTGGAGGCTGCGGAGGCCTGAGGAGGGAAAGATACACTCACTCTGGAACTAAGAGAAAAAAAACTCTGACAAATCGACTATGGAAAGGACTCCTGCTCAACTTACGGCTTATCAGGCGATGATAAACATAAAGTATTTCCTTGATTCTGGGCTTCGATTTTCTCTGAAAGGGAGTCAAACACAAGCAATTAGATTCCCCAGGACTCCAGATGGCTTAAGGCATCAGATGGGGGGGGGGGCACTTGCCTCTGGCGGGAAAGGGGGTCCGAGGTGTGCCGATGTAGCTGACTCCCGCTTCAAACGTGACGTCACCAATGGTCTCTGGGTGGAGGGAAATCAGCAGGGTTATAGCGAATGAAGTCACCGAGCAAGGTCAGTAATGGGGTCAGTAATGGCCACTGAGGGCCAGCAGCCCACAGGCCTAGGTTACCTGACCTTCCTGAGGGACCTGACAGTGTGGTCCGACTCTTCCTCCCCCACTGCCTTCCTCAGGCTGCTGTGCTGGTGCCTGAGCACCCGCCGCTCACTGCCTCCGGCTTCCCCCCACCCGATGCCCATAATGCCAGGTACCCCCAGCTCCACATCGGGCCTGCCTCCCCATCCTGCACCTCCCAGAACTCCCCAAGTTGCTTCACCCACTCCCTCCCTCCACTCAACTGCTTCCCTGTGCTCATCCAATCAGCTCTGTCCACACCGAGTCTAATCAGTAGCTGAGTCCCATCCCTCCTACCTTTCTGGTCCACATGCTCTCCTCCCTCATCTCACCCTTGACCTATTACGGGGTTCCCCCTACGGCCTCCCCTTCTGATTCACCCTCATGGGGCAGGACAGCAGAATGGGAACAGAGACTGAATCAGAACCTGCGTCTGAATTCTGGCTGTGTACCCCAAGTGTCTTTACCTCTAAAACAGGACACAAAGGTCAGGATTAAGTGCGGTCATTTATGTTAAGTCCTCAACACGGTACTTGTGCTACAGATGTGTTAGCAACTACTATATTAGCTGTTATCCTCGCAGGGAGGGTAAGCACATGCCACGTGCGAGCCCCGTGCCAGGCAGAGCAGGGCTTGCCCAGGGCTGGGGTGCAGGTGGTGGGAGATCCAGTGGGGGCATGTGGAGACACCTGCAAACTGCACTATAGATTGTCAAAAGAACTTCTTGACACAGAAATAAGGTTTTTATGGGTTTTGAAGCAAGAAGAAGCTATAAAACACTGCACTTCTAACTCATTTCCCCTTTGAAGTAAAAGGAAAGCATAGGACATTAAAAAAACACCACAGAAGTGGGTACAGGCTCTCGCCCAGCTGGCAGGGACCCTTCGAGCTGCCGCTGACTCGAGTGGGCCTCGGACAGAGCAGGGCTGGCTGAGCACATGGAGCCGCGTGGGAGTGGGCAGGAGGGCGGTGTGGGCTCTAGAATGCCAGGGAGGGTGCTGCCCAGAGTAGCTGCGTGAGGGGCCTGCGCCAGAGGAGGCCTCCTGGCTATGGGCAGTGG